CTCCTCCGCTCACTCGGGACCCAGGACCTCTAGAAGCTGACCCTGGTTTCAGCTAGGCTGATCGCGACACTCGAACTAGGAGGTGCAACCACACTGGCAAGCTGAACCTTTGGGTAATATTCCTCCCGGGAATATTTCTAGCCAGGGAAATTTTTAATTAATTTGGTCCAGATTAGAGCAGGCTCTGGCTGCCCCGAGGTCTGCTTGATCTGCCTTGTCCCATGTTGTAGCACAGAAGTCAAACAAGGCTCTGGTCAGGACGGGATGACTCGGCAGCAGAAGCAGAGCTAGGGGTGACTTGGCACCCGCTTCCTTCCCCATCTGCAGCTGCGCAGCTCTTTTCTCCCACTACACTCGGTCCTTTTGGAACAGAGATCAACCCAAGTCAGAAACTGAGGTAGGATAAAGAGCCTTTTTGTTCTAGTCTTTCCATTGTACTTTCAAACTCAGGTATCCCTGCAGTTACAGTGTCCTCACAACGGAGCCCTATGTCACTCCTGGATTTTTCCTTGCTTTCCCTCCTTCTCATCTCTTTCTATTTTTTCTCTCTGCTCTGCTTTACCCCACACAATCTTCCTTTCTTTTGCTCCTCCTGCTTCCCTGCTTCCTTCCGCCCGTCTCCGGCGCTGTACCCCGTCTCACTGCCCTTGCTTCTCAGAAGAGGCTTCTGTCCTTCCCTTTGTCCCCGCAGCACCCACCGCTGGCCAGGGGCGAGGAGAAGCCCTGGCCTGACTGCTCTCACGCGACGGACTCCAGCGCAGCACAGCCATTTTCACAGCACCACCGCTCTTGGCGAGCCTGTTTTCCATTCACTACTCGGGTATTTTACTAATACTGACAGGGGATACGGACGGACCCTCACACGGGTAAGGTCTTGGTTTTCTGAAACAAGCCCACATCTTAAATTAACCTCTAGGAGAGGTGTTTGTCTTTTCATGGCTCTATAATTACCAAGCTTACTAGTGCATGGTATAAATAATTTTCTTTATTGGCAAGTTTCAACTATGTGCTCAGCCTATACAAGACACAATGATGCAGAAAGTTCTTGTCCCAGGTGAAAGATAAACACGGGGGAAATGGGAGCTAAATGTAAAGGATAGAGTCAGTCATATTTTTCAAGTATTACATTCCATTCTGCAGGTGTTACAAACAGGACTGAGGCTTAAAGAAGGATCTGAGTAAGACAGCAATAACCCAGAGACAAGATGTCTGCAGCTCTTGTGTTTTCCTAATCCCACCTGATTGTTAGGGCGTTCCCTGGTCCACGTCTGACCACTGAAAACAAGGATCCAACAGCGTGTTGCTGCGAGGCTCGCTCGCCTGTCCTCAGCAGCAGTACCTAGCTGGCTGTTGGAAGGGTTCTTCGGAGACCTTTTGCCTTCTGAATGCCAGAAACTACAGAATCCACATGGTGCTTGGGAATGGCCTTTGCTGAGGTAGTTTGTTGGCCAGGCAAGCCTAAGTGACAAATGAATTAGCTGCACGACAAAACACCTTCCTCTTTCTCCAGGTTCCTGACTCCTCTGAAGAGTTTCTACACACTTGTCAGAAAACTCTCTGCAGTAACGTGGCAAGGCTGAACTTGCCCTGGATCTTCAGAATCCCAAGGGAGGACAAATGGAGGTGAAGAAGTGTCAAAACAGTTCTGAAAAGACACAACAAATTGTGCCCACAGGGGCACGGTCCACAAGGAAGTGTAATATCGGTATTTCAGTGGTTATCTGAGCAGCTCACTGAGAGAGGCCCTCAGTAAAAGAGTGAATTTTGGTTTGACGTCTGAATGTGATATTTTAAAAACACGTTTCATTAAAAAACATGTATTCATCATTAGTGCTTCAGAAGCAAAGAGGGCAGGGTACAACCCAGCTGGCGAAAAAAAGGAAGAGAAACGTGTGTGCTGCAAATTCACAAATATTTTCCACCATATCCACATGGGAAGGAAATTTCAGAGTTTACTCCCTGTGTTGTGGGCTGCCACAGCTTGGTGGGGCTAAGAGGGAGATTTCACTCTGGGTCCTCCCGAATGCTGATCATGCTGCTTTTCAGGGCTGTCTCTGCAACAGTGCAGGGAAAATGATGATTTGAGGCCAAGGAGGTCAGAATTAGGGTTCACATTTCTAGACAGCTGGAATACAGATTTGCTTTCTTAAGCCTGGTCAGCTAGGAAGGACAAAATACAGTATTGTTTTTTCTACCAGAACAAAACCAACAGATCTGCCCATAAAATTATCACCTCTTTAGTTTCTAGGTTAGTGGCTTTTAATTCATATCCCCACCGACAGAAGCTTGCTTGCAACAAAGAAGAAAGTCCTTGTTTTGCTCATGCAAACCATTAGTTCATCCTACCAACATGGTAACTCCTGGCTAATGGTGTCCTCAAAGAATCATCCATGCTACTCACCCTACCTGCCAGTCATCCCTAGAGGTATTGCCTTTACCGTGTTTTGTACAGCACTAAAACCACTGCTGGCTCTAAACGAAGATAATGAGAATACTAATGATAATACTAATTCTTCTAGTCAGGTCACACGTTCGCTTTCCCATTCTGACCACAACGCACCTTTCCAGCTGTTTAAAGAACAGATTGCGAGGAGAAGGGAAAAAACTACTTCTGCCATGCTTAGCCTATTTCTGCGCAAAGAAGCAGGGTGACTTCTTAAAGCCCTTAGCACTGGGCTGAGAGCCAGGACCGTCCCTGATACGAGCTTCCTCTGTGGTCTCATCTCCTCCTTTACAACAGAGATTTAAAAGCCACTGACTTCCCACCAATGACAAGCAATGACATAAGAATTAGTTAGTATCTTGATGGTGGTTTGGAAATACGAAATGCCAGTCATTATGACAGCTTCCCAAAGAGCAGAAGTTTTAGTACAAACTCTGTCTTAAATATTACATGAGAGAAAAAAAAAAAAAAATCCAAACCCAGAAGACAAGCTTGAGCCTTAAGCTGTGAAAGAGTTTAAATTTCTCCCTTGATTGGAACCTCTTAGAGCAGCTAGGAAAAAAACATTTTCCTCTCTATTTAGCAAAGGCCAATTCCCCTTCCACTCTATTGTTGCTAATTGGGCAGAGAGAACCCCAATTTACTTGTGTCTATGTAGCAGCATCATTGCCAGTGTCAGTGCAGCCCTGGGAATGCTCCTTGCCTATTGACTGATACTGCTACAGAGCCAGGAGGGAAAGCACCCAAACAGGATCAGCGCAAGAGAAAGAAAACTATCTAGCAGTATCAAAAAGTCTAAGTTAAGATCATTTCTCTGCCAGGTAATGATTAACTAAAGGCATCCTTTTACAGTCTGGAACACAAATGCTCTAACAAAAGGGACATAAAAGTCTATACTTATCTACTCAGATTCTGGAGACAAGCAGATGCCTCAGAAAAGCAGTAATAGCTGTTTTAACATCTCCTGGTGCTCCAATTTAAATAGGGCTACCAGTGAATTTCACTTCCATCCCCTCCTGAACTGGCAAAGAAAACAGAACTACCAAGTCTTCAGGCATAGCTTGCTACCCCCAAATAGTGCAGTGCTTCCAAGACAGCTCAGAAGGTAACACCAGAACTAAGAACATGAGAACCATGAAGACTCAGTGCACCTATCCCTAGGGACTGTCTCTTACCAGGAATGTACTCAATGCTTCAGGAAGATGACGTTAAGAATTACCCAAGTGGCCAACTAGAGAACAACCTGGCCAAAAAGGCATTTTCTCCTGAGTAGCTGGCCATTAGCTGCTGGCTCATATTCTAAAGAAAGGAGGCTCATGTTCGGTTTGTTTTTTCTCTTCATCCCTTGAAATATAGTCCTTTGTTTAAATGCTATGGGTTGCTGGCCCAGTGCTGCCCTATGGTAATGACCCCCACTGGTAACCGGGTTGATGCAAGGACATTTTTACTTCGACCGGTTTTGACGATGTCTGCCCAGCTGTCTCCCTGCCACTTGTGCTAACTTATCCTTCCAGCTCTGCTAGTTCCAGAACAGCACTCAAACATCAAAAGACAGAGTCGAGGTTATCACAGGTTCAGCTGAGAAGTGCACGTAAGAGTCACTTTCCCAACTACAGACAAATGTGAGAACTTGGGATATCAGTTCTGAGCTCAGAGCTGAAAATAGTGCACACTCCTATAGAAGGAATAAAAGTCTTTAAAGGGCAGAAGGGCAACCTAAAGGCGAGGGAAGAAAACAGCTCCAAGAATCCCGCAGAAGCACACTTGGCTGTGGCAGCAAAGAGACTCTCTCAGGCTATGTAGTGTCTGGAGTATTCACTTCTTCTCGCTCAGAAATGCATCCTTGAAATCCAAAGCTTTTCTGTCTTCCACTAGGAACAGCTGAGCAGGTCTGCCTTGCCACCCAACACATGCTCTCAAGGGCACCACACCAGGGACTCTGCCTCACCTTGTGTGCGTAGTGGCTCAACTCTGCTCCCGCTGGAAGCAAAGGGAGTTTTCCCAGTACTTCCCGTGGAAACAGGGTTTGCCCAAATGTTTATATGCAGCAGTGAAACCAGGCAGCCCTGGGACACAACCTTAAGTGACCAGAATCAGCACTCTAAAGTGAGACAGACCCCACAATAATAGGAAGCACAAGGCAAGATTTGCTATCTAGAGTGAAAAGATTATACATAAGAGATGAACTTCTTAAGCAAGAGGATATAACAGAAGGCGATTTCAGTCCAGCCAACTCACTGCCTTTCATTCTCAAGCTCTAATCAGTCCATATCACAAACTATAAAAGCCTTAAACAAGCACACTGCCAATTGCTTTTCTCTGGGTTACAAACACATGAAAGAATGGGGGAGATACAGTAACAGCAGAGACAAGCCTGGCAGATCCTCCAGGTGGGGTGAGATCCAGCACTGCAGGATTTGATTCTCTTTAGAGTTCAGCCAGTAGCATGTATGGTATAATCTATAGAAACTGTCCCACTGGATTTTAAAACACAAACACAGCAGAATGTCATCATAAATAAGCAAAGTCTGTGTTAAAAAATTCTAAGTACACAGCATTTTCTCCAGTTCTGACACCTTTTTAATAGAAATCACTTGTTTAGGAAACAAATAGCACTTTTGTAATTTTTTTTTTTTTTTTTACAATGTTTCTTACCTTGATCTTATTTTAAGTAACACTAGGAAGACCTCAATATCTTTTATTTTCCTTTTTAATTTAAAAAAGTTGTTTTTTTTTTTCCCCCAGATACAAAGATTTTGCCCTTGCATAAAAAAACAGTGCCCAAAACGATGACACAAGGACTCACAAAGACTCACTGTATCTCACTGACACTATTACTTCTAATCTATACCATGCAAGGTCCCATCTACCTCTTTAATTAGACTGTCAGCCTGAAAAACAGCTTTTCTATTCCTTATTTAGTTCTTGTTACCAAAAGAAGAGAAAGGAAGTGAAAGAAAAGGACATTTCTCTGTTCAGTTCACACATCTGGGTCATGTGCTACTTTGTTCAGGATACCTTTGTTGTTTATAAATATAGAAAAGGGCTGGAATCTCATTTTCAAGTAATCGATGCACATTTTCTCTTGGGACACCTCCGTCCAATGCTCCAAGCTGACCCTGGATTCTGGCCCTCTATTTTCCCATTCCCAACACAGGCTTTCCGGATGAATGTGAGGACCCAAACCAATTCTGCAAAGCATGTCTGTTGTTTAATGTGAAGAAATAGGATTAACCCAAAGCTGTTGGGACAGTAGATCTTCAGCCTGTTCATGTGCTGGTTACTCAGTGAAAAGTCCATCTCCTTTCCTTTTGTACATCTCCTGTCTAAACAATAGTAAATACTGCTTATTTGATAGACTTGTCCCTTCTGGGCACTGGGATTTGATAATTTATGTTTCTGTTTTTTTGGTTTAATAGTACTGAGAGTTTAGAAACAGGAAAAGCCCACAGGCTCTTTGGACTTTTGTTTTCCCCTAGCTAAACAAACTGTTCTGCAAATAAGGATTTGAAACCTGCTCTCCTCCCCCATCCCTGCTCCTCACCCCAAACAAAAATAAAACAAACCTATAGTGGCTGTGGAGGCTGCTGCAGGCACACACTGGTGTAAAATATAGAGAGAGTAAATATATTATTTCACTTGGCATGGTGCTGGCAAAGAACCCCCAGCTGGCACTATTCATGTAACATGATCCAAACTTTGCATGTACACACAGAATAAGAAGGATCGATTGGCAAACTCCGGTGCCGCCTGGCACAAGCATCTTCACGCTCTCTCTGGAACCAAAGAACTAAAGAATTCTGCACTTTCCAGAAGAAATCCGGTTTTGCTTTTCTAGAGTTTCATTATTTTGCTCTTCCTCCTCGCCGCCACCTCCCCTGGCCCCTTCTTAACTTCATTGTGTTATTTAGTCTCATCGCCCTTGTTACAGTTCACCATGCAGCTCTGGGAAGGGGAGGGGGCTAAGGTGGAGGTGGCAGCATTAGTATTGTTAGTGGAGTCCATGCCGTTGGAGATGGCTACTGAATTGACCTCAGAGTTTATGGGTTTTGAAAGGTCGATGCCTTGGATGAGGCGGATCAGCTGTTTTACCTTCTCCAAGGAGCTGTGCATCTCCTTCTGTTTTGCAAGGATGGTATTCTTCATTTCCATGCATTTCTGCAGCAAAACAGAAAAGCAGTACTCAGTTCAAGCTTATGAATGAAAGAAGGTAAGAGAAGGAATATGATGTTCACAGATCTAAATGTAAGTACGCAGAAAAGACTGCAGCTACAATTTCACTTTCCCAGCCTAGAAGAAAAAGGGCTGTGTTCACAGGAGAATTTGAATTTGCAGGCTGAGGAATTAAATTGCCAGTATGTAGCTGTCACCTGGTATGGCCCCCTTTCATCCCAAGGTGTTTTGCAAATCCACACAGACAGCTCCATCCTTTTGCGTTCCCTTTGAAGGGAAACTTTGTTATTTTTCTATTAGTATTGCATTGCTGAAATTTCTTTAGCTCAGATCTGCAAACTCAGGCATCCTACTGCAGCTGACTGCTGACAGTGTGTGTGCATGCTGCTAATGGGATACAGCCTTTGCTTTCACATACATTTGAGCAGGAACATCACTTCCTCCTCTCAATAAATAAAGGGGCACTTGAAAAGAAAACCAAGCCCTTCTTCACTTGAAAATCTTATTTTGTGGCCACTTCTTTCTCTTAGAAGCGGTAGTAACCTAGCCAGCTCATCAGTTAAGAGTCAGGGTAAGATAACTTTAAAAAAAGCCCACAAATGATGTTTCAAGGGTGAAAAACTGCTTAGATCTATATTTGAAACTCTCAAAAAGGAGGAGATGGTAGCTATGTCTGTAACATTCAGGTTCTTACATGAAGATGGCAACCTTCCTACATTTTTTAAACCCTTTATCCATGCTGATCTCCAGACACTGTTGGTTTCAGCTTTACTCTTTTCACATGCAGCTCGTGGCATTGTAAAAACACCACAAAATTCAGACCCAATGTGTCTTTTTCAGACAGTTCCAATGAAAGTATAAACAATGACTTGATCATAGAAAATAAACCATTCTCCTTACCTACTGTCAATCCCTCATGTTAAGGGCTTGCATCTGCCTGGGTATGTCACTGAGAAACAGTGTTAGTGCTCTAGTGCTGCTCAGGTTATGCCCAGCTACTGCTAACCAGAAGATGACAGCCTCCAGAACTGCTAACCAGCACCTCTCACCACTTGTTTCCTCACAGTCGTTTTATTTGTATCGTCAGCATTTAGGGGTCTTTAAACATGGGACACTGACTTTTGTTCTAATAGGTAAAGACAGGCAGACCGGAAAGTGCATCTGTATTTAAAAATAAAAGTCTGTACTTATGTATCCAGCCTTACAGATGCTGCCACATATGAGATTTCAGTATTTTTCATTCCATGATACTGACTAGGGCTACGCTAAGTGAGGGGCTCAAACTTTACACTGGTAACTCAAGAGCCTGATTTGCCTATTAAGGTGAGAAGAGAGAGCAAATTCATATGTATGCTCCAATTACTGTGATAAACTAAGGTGGAAACTACAGCTTCTGGTTAGAACTATGACATTGTCTAATTAATATTATGCAGAGGCATGCACAGTGTCCGGCTGCTGATTGCCAAGGCAACATGTCAAGAGCCTGAGAGCCAGTCAAGAGTAAATGCTCACTTTTGTAATAGGAAGGTCTGGAAAGCACACCAAGACTGTAACTCTTATTATGCAGAGAGGCCCAACTATTCATATTTAAGTGAGCCACTAGAGAATTTGACTTAATCTACTGCCCACAGACAGTAATGCTCTGGGTCATGTTTGTCAGCTGCTGATATTACAGGTCACCACACATCTACAATATATGGTCAGCATGGATCATGTATAAGTGACTCAATCTAAGTATATGTTGCCTGTATTTCACTCCTGCTCCCCAAAGTCCTAAAAAGCAAAGGAAAGCACTCACTTAGTTCTCAGTAAATCCAGTGGAAGACAGGTCTAGTACATGGAGTCACTCTATGGTTTTCTCTCTGCATTCTGGCACCAGAACACAGGTGCAGAGCTATTTGGGAGGGCAATACTCACCGTTATAGAATTGCTGAGCTGTTTGACCTTCTGCTCTAGTTGTTCTCTTTCCTGTTTTAAATCTGAACTCCATTTAAGTAGTTTCTGTTTTTCCTCTTCTTTTGCTACAAAACAGAGTATTAATCAGAATATTTAAAATGTTATAGGACAGTGGACAGAGACTCTAAACTGGTTCATATAAAGAGGGTAACTGTGTTTAAAGCCAATTCAACAACTTGTACACTAAATCACACCCAAAATTTCACCTACATACAAAAGCATCACAGAAGGCTTAAGTATTTAGACTGCTGTTTTCACTTCACTAGTGATTAAGGTTCCTCCCCTTTAATTTCCTGTTGTAAAGGAAGTACCATTCTATCCCATTCCCGAAATAACATCTTCCATTATTAAAAGTGATACAAAGTGATGTTCCCCATTTTCCTACCTGCTTTATATGCAATATATGAATGAACAATTGCTAAAGTTCCTGGCCATGGGATTGCTTCTTCCTTCTTTAACATCTGAAAGAAAAGCGTTTAGAGATTTAGCTGGTACACAATCTACCTCTAGGAAAGCAAAAAGGAGAGAGAGGAAGAAGGAAAGACTTGAGAATTTTCTTTTATGGCTATCATTACTCTCAGCCCTGTTAACATGAAGCTTCACAGACCTGTTCTGAGATTTAATAGAGGGAATTATTCACAACTGTATTGTGGCTCCCACAAAGCAGGCGTGTTTCTTACAAATGTCAGCATTTTCTCAAACTCCCTCCATAGCCACAAATAAACTCTACTAATGAAACTGAACAACTTAAAAGAGGAATGAAAGGATAATATATCTGAACTCAAACTTGCCAGAAGATATAAACATTTCACGGTTCAGACAAATTGCTGATCTTAGTTGTTCTGGGAGAAAACTTTTCATAGCACAGAGCAGCCTCCACACCACATAGTTAAACATCATGCTTCCTGGCTAGTAAAACATGAAACTGTTCTATCTCCTCTTCTTATCAGAATCATCTTAATAGAGCTGTCAAACCCTCTTTATAAGGGTAAGCACCGTTCACGTCTTTCAGATCCTTCCTACATATTCCTTCCTAACAAACTTTATTTTGAGAGGAAAGACACATATCATGTCTTTTGAATAAGTGAATCAGAGGGGTGTCTCAGAAGATAGAGGACTTGGTCACTTCACAGTGAAATAACTCAGATTTTTTTCCCCCTAATTTTGTGGGAAACTATCACAGAAGTATGAAGAGAAGGGATAAGGTCAGAGTAGGCAAGAGTGGGAGTAGGGAAGTGGTAACACCCCCTCCTCACTTGCAACTATTGACCAAGTCATTTGAGTTTTGCATTTTCATGCTTCTGAACAGCATCTTCTGAACAGGCTGTTTTCTTACGTTACCATCTGGCTAGCCAAAGGTCACGTGGGCGACCAAGCAATATGCTAGATCAGACAGAACGCTAACGGCTTCAGGCTGCTGATTATCAGCAATCCTTTGCAACTGCTGGAGTTCCATGTAAGGGTTAAGAATACAACAGTTTACTTCTTTGTCTTGTAATCTCAATGCAATTATAAACAAAATATTAAAATATAATCTGTTCACTTCAATTGTGTACTTTCAGAAAGGGATGTGGAAGGAAGAACCAAACTGTTCACCTACCCTCATTATACTGGTACTGGATGATATTATTATGATTATTATGATTCAGAGATCACTGAAGACAACCTCTCTGACATTTGATTTGTATGAGTAAACAGGGGCTTACATTTGCTCTATCTGTTGAGGTAGGCTTGTGCAAATGTTTTATTTATTTGTCCAGAAGAATATACTAATAACTTTTGAAGAAACAATGAGCTTAAGATGAACAGGAAAATTTCTATGGGTCATAGAGAACCTTTCCCAAAAGTCTGTGTGCTTTGGCCCAGAAAAAGAGTAAAAACAAGGGTAACAAATGAGGACCCCAAATCTGGGAGCAAGACTTAACAGTTTTGTATTTGCATGCATCCCAACAGAGGTAATTCGATCAAATTCACACAAGCCTTATTACAGATCAAATAGATTTGTTCAGTGTCAGACTGTCTTGATCTAAGTAAGCCAAGTGATCTGGTTATTTTCTTTACATGGAAAAATCTTCATAGTGTGCTGCGTGTAAGTCTCCCTGTCTGTCAAACAATACCTGGTCTTGACATTTGGGACAGATCCACATGCCCTTGGGAATGGTTTTCAGAGGCGGGTCCAGACAGTCCAGGTGATAAACACGTGAACATGTGTCACACATCAGCAACTGCCCGCTTTTTCTGCAAACACTGCAAAAATCCTCATGGATATCGCCCTATAAAATTGAGGGGAAGGGGTGTGGGTGAGAGAAAGAGAGAGAGAAGGCAAAAAAGTGAACTTTGACCTTTGACATCTACATCCTAGTTGAACGCAAAGTTTACAGCACAAACTATGTCTAAGGGGATTCCAAATGGTCAAACCTTTTTAGGACATGAAACAGGAAAACCAGGCAGGATGTCAGAAACACTGACATATGTCCTCCCAAACATTCCCTCTGTCCTCCCAAGGCAAAATGTTACAGCAAACACTTATTACCATAGCTTCTCTTAAAAACTGCTATCCCATAGCCTGTAAGATTCCCCCTTTACCCTGCTTTTTTTTTTGCCTAAAGGTATGAGCTACCCACTTTCTTAACCCTTCTCATTTCAGGAGGTAAGCACAAGTCCACTTTGGGAATGCTGATGAGGCTGTCTCTTGCCAGTAATAGTATGTAAGAAACCCCAACTGAGTGACTTAAAAAAACACTGTCAAATATTTAGATCACCTTTAAAAATGAAACTGGAAGGAAAAGGTGTTGTGCTTGTAAATGAGAAAGAACAGAATGAATTATGTTCTGAGACAATTCTTTTTACTTCACTTAGGTTACCTCAAATTGCACCAAGAAAGCTGTGACTCAAAATTTTCTCGTTCTCTACAGAGAGTGGTTTATATTTCATCACTAACATAGGCTGAGAGCCAGGATGAGGGAATACCAAGAGAGATTTTCTAACTAAGCTTTTTTTTTTAAAGAAAGAATTGAAAACATTACTGGCAGTGTCTCTTAAAACAACTAGGTTTAGTTACTATTGCATCACCATCAGAGAGAATTTTTTTCTACAGCCATTAACTTCCCAGAAAGGTAGGTCTGATTTTAGTCACTTTTTCTTCTCTCTCTCTCTCTCCTCCTGTTACTCCCATCTCATGCTTGGAGGCGTGGTGGCGTTTCTCTTTGGTTTTCTTTGGGTTTTGGATATTTGGATATTTGAACAAAGAAGCATGAAAGAAAGATGCCACATCCACAGAGGGGCACGGCAGCCCTCTCCTCTCACTGCCTGTGGGCTGTCCTGGCAACTTGACATACTCAAGGTCCCACCTGGAGTCTGAAATACACACTTCTCACTGACTTCGGACAAAGTTTCACACGCACCAGATCTGCAAGATCGCTATGTGTGTGTGGAGTCAAACTGCACGTACACACTCCCCCTGTATGAAATATCAACGTGTGCAATGTTTCATTTTGACCTGTACAGTCTTTTCACGTGCGTGAATAAGTTCTGTCAGTCTGGAGGGATAGCAGACTTGGCCATGCACTTACATATTAAGTTGCCAGGCAAGAAAAATGACACTAATCTCTACTATGGATAAAATATTAAACATATTAGAAGAATGACACAGAAGCAATCTGCCCAGGTTTCTACTTCCCGGCTCTATTGCTGATGAGGCCTTTCTTCAAAGGGGAGTCTATTCTTCTCTTAATTCCCAAGGTTAGCACTGATGTCATGTTTTGTAAAGGATCAATCTTTAGTGAATTTTCAGTGCTGTGTTGTGGTTCCGTAACTCCCAGGGATCACTGAGAGCTGGGTTATGGCATTATTTCATCCTTTAACACCAAAATGTGCCTCAGTGTTAAATGAAGAATTAAATGAGTGACATTTCATGCCTCTTGTGAAGTGATCTGTGTAACCAGGCTGGGAAGAACTTCTTTTCCTCTATTATGCATTCTGGGAGTATGAGGAAAAAGAAGTAGGCAGGAGATGTCATGTAAGCTAAAACAAAATCCTCTGCAACCTAAGGAAAAATTTAAGAGGAAAATTCTCACGTTTTAGAAGAGAATTCTCATTCTAAAGAATTACATGTGTTAAGATGCTTTGGTTGCCACAGACTACATGATGGCATTTGGTAACTGGCTCAGGTGAAAAATTATTGGTCTGTTGAAAACCAAACCTGTTTTGTCTGATGCCCTGCAGAAAGAGACCTACACAACAGACACATGCAGTTGCTTCTTGAAGGGGAGACATTTAGAAATTTAGACCCAGAACCTTCTGAATTCAATTGAACGCTGCAAAACCTGAAGTGACACAGCTGGTCAGTGTGCAGTGTGGCTGAACGCATTGAGATGACAACACACGTGCACAAAATCCACAGCCCTGTTTTTGGTAATGCAAAATTCAGTGCATTTCCTCAGAAATAATAACCAGCCTTACCAAAATCCAGATTTTATGGGCAGTTAATAAATATATGTATAAAGGGGGGCTGGATTTGATGCTGTGACACGCACCTCACTAGTCTCAGCTTCTGGACCAGCTCTGTGAAGGCTGCAGGCAGCCAACTTAGGCTGGAGCAGAGCTCACTGAGGCTGCTCTAACACATGCTACGGGCTGAAGAGACTGAAGAATAATTTCAGAACAAAGACCATAAAAGGTGATTTAATGTCACTTTTTGCTCTACTTCCTCAGCACCAAGAGACCAGGAAAATAAATGAAAGCTTTTTGGACAGCTAACAGTTTTCTTTTTTTTGTGAAGTGTCTAGAGCAGCACGGCCTGGCTTTAGGCAATACAACTGAATAATACAGCATCAAATCAGAAGTACATGTAGTTTGCGTGTTTGAATATGTATTATGTATATGTATATTTCATTGGAACAACATGGGAAAACTAAATATTCTGCAACAGGAACTGTTCATGACCGTATAAATAAAGATGATCATAATGTATGATGTAAGTGAATTAAGTTATCAGAAGCAATAATAATTCTGGCATTTCCTAACTTCCATGGGCTTGACTTTGCAATCTGAATGTTCTCTAATGCTCCTTTCAATTGAAACATTGTTTTGATATGAAGAGTTTACTAATAAAAAGGCATTTTGTGACCACAGACTTGAACCATCACTAGAACAGAGATTTTTGCACTATTCTTACTGCTGAGTAATTGACCGTCAAAGGCAATTGCTATCTTCCAAGTGAATATGCCACTATTGCGTGAGGGAGAATCACACATAAGCAAGTGGTTCACAGCCAATTGCCAAATAGAAAAAAGGGAAAAAAAAAAAAAAAAAAAAGAAAAAAGAGAAGTTTTGCTCAATCCTGCATAGTGCATTACTTCCTTCCTTTTCCCAGGTTCTGTTCCTACTTTCTACCCCTTAGTCCTTATCACCAATCCCATCTCAAGTTCCTGCTTCATCCTCCCTTCAAACTTTATCCCTGTCATTCAGAGAATGACAAGTCAGGAGAAAGCCAAGAAAGCTGTTCTGGGCCATGGTGCCTGGTGCCAAGTGCTTGGCCTGATTTGTAATTTTCATAGGTTGGATAAAGACAAAGATTACTCAAGTGCTAAATACCAAATTTCCATTCTAAAGCCTATAGGAATTAGACCTTCTCAGCAAATTAATGCAAAAATACTTTAAAGATGGGCAAAACTGTAGTGTTCTTCTATATCGGTCTGAGGAACTGCTCAATTGTCTTAACTGAGACTTCTGAAATAGCCTTTTACTTAGGCATGCACTTGTGTTTTCATTTTTAAGTCTCCAAAAGCTGGAGGCTGTAATGTTTAATAGTCTATTTTTAATTAAAAAATATTTTTATGAGCACTTTGAAATACATTTTCTGCTTTTACATGTATTTTATTTTATATGGAATACAATACCAAATATTTCTGAAAAGTCTACCAAATTAGCCCAATTGATAGCGAATATGCATTGAACAGGACTTTGGGATAAAATTCTTTGAAAAAATTAAACCCACAAAAATGTTAGTGCTGTTGCATATGGATAAACTAAACGACTTGCCTGGAAACATGTTAAAGGAGATTTTTTTATAATTCTAAAGGGGACAGAGTGCTACTGTGCTATATTATAATATGCTTAGGTAAGAGAGAATGTTAATTACCTGCCATGTAATCTTCCATTGTCTCCTTTAAAATACTTCTGTTTTCATTAATTAATGACTATTAAAGCAATCCAGAACCTAGGCCTAAATACTATCCAAATTCAGAAAATTCAGGGCATTCAGAACTAGATTTGAATGCTACAGGAATTCACTATTCTTGATTTAGCTTGCTGCCACCAGGCATTGCAGAAAACAGGGCAACAACTCACTGTACTGTTTTGAGAGCTCTTACACAGTGGGAAAAGACTCGGCAGTATACACACACAAGTCAGAGATGGAAAAGACCCCCACCACATTATCCAGTCCTCCTCTTGGGGCCAATGTAAAAAATGTGCTCTCCAGCATGTTTGCTAGTTGTTTGTAATGTTTACTTTTAAAAGTCCCCGGAGATGGAGCTGCCCCACCTTCTCCCTGCGGGGCTGTTCCACAGTCCCATTCATTTGACTGCCAGGAAAGGGTTTTTACAGTCAAGTGCTATTCTGCTCTCAAAAGCGACTATATAAAAGAGAACCTTTTAATTTCACATACATACTCCCTGGGTATCAGAATGGCATCTATTTATTTCAGTGACTCAGACACACTTTGATTATTTCTATTCTTGTTACCTCTGTAGAACAAATGCAGTTCAGAGGCAAGAAGTTGGCTTCTATTCCCTATTGTATGTGGCCAGTAGAGCTGGCCTCTCAGTCTATGTACTTACAGTGGTGCAACTGCATAGATGAAAATAAAGTGGCCCAACTCTTCCTTAAAGCCCACTTCAAATGGTTGGGCCTCAATTATATGTGATAATATGTTTAAAAAAACCGCTCTGACTCAGATTGCAGAAGGAGTTTGCAGCACTGGTACAAAGAAATAAGCAAGTACCTTCTTATTTTTAAACTGTGCCCAGTAAGTACTAGTCATTAAAACGCAAGCATTTCACTAGAAGTACACTACAACTCCTGAGAATTTTTGTGCAATGAATTGTTTCACCCATACTGAACAGTCACAGTGCGCTTTCAGACAAATCATAGCATACAGTCCCTTCGTTACATCATTTTGGACCTACATAGCAACTCAGTCCAATCCTTCCCACATTATTTATCTTCTAAAGTTTATACATGACCTTTAATTTTTTTCATCATGCTTTTGCAAGAAATAGAAACAATGAAATAACTGGACAGTTCTCAGCAACTTAAAAAAGGTTGTGCTTTCAGTAGCAAATCTTAACTTCGAATTAACTTAAAATAAGAACACTCAGTTCTTCATAAATTATAACAAAATGTCCAGATTTCACGATTTGACCACAGGGGCGATGAATTTAGCTACGCCAGTACACCAGAACTGCCACAACCAGTGCTGTGAACGCTGCTCCTGGCTGTCCTGGGTGATCCAAGCAGTTTCCCTCCTTCTCCCATTACAGAAACACCCCAACTTTTTGTTATTATGGTCTGTAAGTAATACTTTTCATTCTCCCCTTCCCCCTTTTTCATGGATGACAGATTCAATTCAGTCAGACAAGATCTCAGACACTGCACAAAGGAAATGAGCTCATCTGGCATGCCTGGTGCCTCCCAATGTTTCAATCCACTGAAGAAGTTATAAATAAAATCTCCACAGGATAAGAACATAGGTGCAGGAGGAAAAAGGAAGGGTGTTAAAGGAACGCTGGACTGTTTTACTGCACTGAATCAGGACAAATGATGAGTGAGACTAAAGAAACAAAATCTGTAACGATTTTCCTTGTGGCTGTTTCTGCGTATCTTTCTAAAAGTAACCCCCCTCCCCATGAGTTACTTACGTCTGTGGAGCTGGGGCTAGGCAGGGACACAGGCTGAACAGCTGCGGGAAAAGTAAATGTGGTCTCTGTCTTTTCATTGTCGGGGGAGTCAGGATAACTGGACAGAGGGGACGTGGGGGTCAAAGCCCCGAACCCCAGCACCGTGTTGTATTTAGGTGGACGACCTACATATTAACAACAGGGAACAAAACAAAACAAAACAAAACAAAAAAAAAAAAAAAAAAGGAAAAATGATTTTACAAACCTTTGCCCAGGGAGCCCCGAACCCCAGCACCGTGTTGTATTTAGGTGGACGACCTACATATTAACAACAGGGAACAAAACAAAACAAAACAAAACAAAAAAAAAAAAAAAAAGGAAAAATGATCTTACATACCTTTGGCCAGTGGTCCTCATTGGCTAGCGTGAAAAAGGAAATGATGTAGCACAGAGAGGAAGTTAATATAAAAGTTACAAGTAGAAGGACAGAAGCAAAGATTTAAACATTTTTTAGAAATCTTTAAGTAGAATTTTGCAAGGAAAGAACATTTAAAAGATGTATTTCAGAAGGAAATAGAAATAAGCTCTGTAGAAGGTCAAAGAATCACTCCCACAAAAGCAGCATGGGGACACTTGCCACTCCTAGAAATGAGGCTATTCAGTTTTTAGGGAAAACATGTTGGCATCAAAGCTAGAGAGAAGCTACAATAACTACTATTAAATCCTTTCTACTGTTATTCCACACCTCCCTATCTTTCTAGTGCCAGCATAAATCTACACAAAGGTTAAGTCCTTTATCAGAGGCCAACACTCACCAACCCCCTCCTTTTCTTCCCCCTTTTTTAAACCCACTCACCCACAGATCAGCACTTTCTACCCTACTGATACTTTCTAAATTAGGCTACCTCAAGAACGGGTCCTGTTGTCTGACCCATTACACCAGCACTACCAGTTGTAACCTACCACTGGTCTTCCACTGTAACCCTCCTCAAATTCTGTATTCTTTCTTAGACTTTCTCAGACAAGTATGTTTGATTATGTACAACTCCTATATGCTCCTTTAGACTAGCAGAAATGCAAAATGTGTTCGTAACAATTTTCATAAAATTATGTATGCAAAGCAAGACAGCAAAAAACCAGTATGTAACCGTCATTTCTGCCTCCCTTCTCCAGGGTAATTTATGGATATGTAAACATAAAGGAGTTAGGATCTAGGAATAATTCCCCAGATCTTATGTTTACAGATTGTCAGTCTATACCTATTAACATGCTAAACCTTGCATTTAAGGTCTGGATAGGTTCCAGAACTAAGTATGTCCTTGGAAACGGATTTCTGATAGTGATGTCCATGGCTGAAATTTCTGACATGCTCAGCACCATCTAGAATTAAAGTAAAGCTCTCAAGGGCATATGCTTGCATTAGCTTTTCACCTAATATACTGCTATACTAAATCACAAACCAAACGTATATATTTGTCAACTGAAAATGTGTGCTACTAATTTGGTGCTGACGCAAGGTACAGGCTCACAACAGGGTGTGAGAAAAAAAAGAAAGTATAATAGCAGTCAGTGCGCAAAAACAGGCTACAAGAGTATCCAGTACAAAAGCATGCAATTGTTTTCATTGATACAGTAATTGCTCACAATGAGTTATAAAACAGAACTAAGAAATCATTACTAGAAGAAGGAACATTTACTTATCCACAGAGTAAATGCAAAACTCTTCTCTCTATAAAATCTACATCATGTAATTTTAAAAAATACATTTAATGTTATTAGAGGATGGCGGTAGAGACTGATGTCTTTTGTTTAGAAACAGCATAGCTGCAGAAGTGCCAGCTTTGCCACATTGCCTGCTGGACTGAAGAGGTGTATCAATGAGAGCACATATCAAATGAATATTTGACCTTGCAGCCAAAAAACAACGATAATGGAACTGGTCAGTGCTAGGTAGGACTGTGGGTTTTTTAATTGGATTGATGACTTTTTTTAGACAGCAAACTCAGGAGTAGAGAAGGTGTTAGGAGTCTTTAAGGACTGCAGAAAATCATCAAAAATCAGGGAAAGATTGACATATATGTGTGGTTGATGCCATGCACAAAAAATGGTATCACGTTCTCTCCTATGCTGTTCTGACTCATCTGTTTCTCCATAATCTAAGTCTTAAAATTTCCCCTGTTCTACGGAAGGATTTCTACTGAATAATACTGCATACCTATATGAAAGATCATCTCTCATTTTAGGACAAGTGGCACTCTGGTTGCAGAGAAGTGCTCAGTATGAGCATGATAGCCTTTCTTGCTCAAGATAAATTCTTTTGAAGGACCCATCTCTACTCCCAGTGGGGAACAAGGCTTTTGTTACACACTAAGCTTCCTCTCCTATTCAGGGCACAGACACTTTTTCCATAACCACCTTCCTCTTTACAGTAACAATATGATTTAGTTATTAACAAGAGGATCTTGACAGCAGCTTTATACCACTAAATGATGTTCAAACATCTCACCTTTCACTTTGCTCTATCTATTGGTTTGTTTTTTGGGGGGTTTTTGTTGTTTTTTGAGAGTGAAACTGAAATGAAACATAGAGCTGCCTAATAAAACCTGCTATGTTAATCCCTAGAAGTCATGATCTTTGTCTACCATGGAAATTTACTGGACAAATGAAGTACTGTAGAGTCCTTCTTTGTTTTGCTCTTCTAAATCAACTAGGGGATTGCAAATGGAAGGTGGAGGAAGAGGCATACAGCAGGGAGACAGGTCTAAGTATACCTCACCTCTTTTACGTGTCCCGGGATGCATTGTGCTGTTCAGGTACGTGACTGTACTCTTCTTGCGCTGCAGGGAAGAATGTAACAATTTTTGTTGGCTAACATTTTTGGCAACAACTATATGCAAGAGCTGAGGAACAGCACAGTAGTACTAAGTGAGATTACTGGCTGTTCTGTTTTCTGAAGCACAACTTCAGAAAAGTTAACTTTTTTACACTACTTCTGACATCTGGACTGCTTCAAGGCTGATACACAAGCTGACCTAATGGTAGACACACTGCCATTTAATGTCAGCTTTACATAGGCAGAAAAATACATAAGTATTAGAAGAACACCCCAATGTATTTACTAATTAAAAATCCGAGGGTCATATCATTGCAATGGCCTTTTGAATTATAAATGATAGCTTGCCTGTCTAGTTAGAACTGAGACAGCTTAGGAGGTAGCAACATGGCAGAAAGACACACAAGCTCAGAATGAAAATACCCGCTTCCCCCAGCAAAAAATTAATACCTCGGGCTCAAAAACGGCTCCACTGTACACTGGATTTGCTGTTGTTCTTCTTTTCCTCTCTTGTCGCTTACTTTGGATTTCTTGTAAAACAAAGCATTCAGGTTAGAAAACAACGGGTCTCAGAAATTATAAAAAGTCCTCAGAATTCAGTTTGCATGTGAGGAGAGCTGTGAAGATTTCTACAGAACACCAATCATGCTGAATATAGGCAACTTTGTTAAACTTCTAATTTCTGAAGCTTTGAAAACTAAGAGCTGACAAGGAATACAAATACAGTGCTCAAGTAACTAATGAAATGACTGCCATCTTCTTGCCAAGTACTCCATGACTAAGGCATTTTAAAGTCATGGTCAGTGTGATTGGGATCTAAAATGAAAAGCCTCTGGTAACTTTGTTGATACTTAAAAATAAATACAGTAGAGAAATATGCAAGTCATTGAAATGTTAGGCTGTATTTCACTGTATAGGATGAAGGAGTTTAAATTATAAAACCCATTATAATCTATAAACTCATTCACTACAGATTACAGTCCCATGAAATCATGAAATAAATGAAAAATCCAGATGTGGGTTACAGTAAAATGATCCATGGTGTAACTTTGCAGATACAGGAGTTGTGCAGAAAGCAATGGGATTGTCACAAATGTCCTTCCTACCATCAGAGCATACGCTTTCTCCCCAACCACTGCTCTCAGCTGCATAAGCAACTGCTTTGTTTCAATGTAATACAAGGAATAAAAAAGTATGCACAGCAAACTAAGTTGGATCAAGAGTACAGACATCCCAAATGCACTTTCGTGCAAGAAAACACTGCATTTAATACAGAAATATTTTGGACCTGTACTTCCAATTCAGAATGGCCATGAAACAAGGAGCTCAAGAACCAACTTAAGACATTTTTCCTACCTTCCAGATGGTCATGAGTAACTAGTCCCAGAGACACCATGAAGGCAAGTTTCTGTGAGGGGGGAGAAAAAAAGATCATGACAAGTCCAACCATTAGGATGAGCTATGTCACTTAGGCCCTTTGAAGTCAGTTGACAGGTAACTAAGAAAAATGTTATTAGTAATACTTTGCTTCTATAAATCACTTTTAATTCATATATGTCAAACTGCTTTACAGAGGATAGACAACAGTCCCGTTTTCTAGATGACAACCTAGGCTGAAGTACAGGGAAAATGCCAGTTGCTCATGATCACAGAGCTGGCAGCGCTAAGAAAGAGAAAGCAGTTTCTTTACTTCCAGCCCAGCGCTGAACCACCATGTGATTGGCTCTTAGTAAATACCAACACAGTTCAATTGCCAGCAAAATACTGCTAGTTGAAGATCATTCTCCATATATTGCGAAGTACAAGGAGCAACTCTGGTTTACATTTGCCGTTTGATAAGGGCTATGGCTTTCTTAAAGGATTCTAATTTTAATGCAGGAAGTGCACAGATGTGTAAAAATTAGAATTCGTACTGACAACAGTTAATGCTCACACAGTAGGCAGTTTGAATCCATCTACAAAAACAAATGTAGTAGAGCATTTAGCTGTAATCAGTTCCAAAGCTCTGCATGGCAGAAAGGCTTTAAGAAATAACCATTCTGGCCTCTCTTTCCCCCCAAAACCAACTGGACCTAAACTGGAATAAAACCTGGGCAGAATGTGAACATACATGACTCTTTCCATCCTGCTCACCAGAGCAGAAATGTTTTATAAAGCAAAATAAAGACATTTCTCCAGCATTAAAAATAACTCCAGAAGTCTAAAACCTCAAAGGAACAGAAATCAACACTGTAACCTAAGCCTCCTCATTGAAGGAAGTATCAGAAGGAAATTATAATCTTCTAACTTACAAAAGACTCAGAAGTCAAATGCATTCCAGGACTGAAAAATGCAATGCATTATATTTATTTAGATTTCTTATTCTGTACCCTTATCAACTACTGCTGTCCAACGGGAATGTATGGAATGTTAAAAGTTAAGGAGTCTTGAGGGAACAGAGGGGGAAAAATGTTTTCTGAAAGACAGAGAGTTTCCTTTTTTTCTCAAAAGAAAGCTCTGGGTGTGTGCTCGTACCTGTGGATTTTCTTCTCGTTTTGGCTTCGGTGCAGCAGGTGGAGTAACTGTACGACTTTCTGTTTGCTTCTCTTCTGCTTCCACATGTGGTTTAATAGTCTGAAAAGAAACAGTGTTTTTCTCATTCAGTGATAAGAATTACTTTTTTACTTTGACTAATAAAGCAGAACAAATACTTCCGCAGATACAGGAGAAAAAGTTTAAAGCTGGCAGTGTACTAACAAAGACTTAATTGAGGAATCTGACGTGAGAGGAATGTTAAATAAACTGTTTTCCTTTAACAAAGGATGAAACAGTCTTACCACCATTCCATTAACCCACACAGCCATGCAAGCAATAAAAGTAATCTTAAGAGTTAACTCCCTTACAGAAATCACTATACGGTATGGGAAAACTAACAGACACTTTAAGAAAAAGCATCCCATGGAAGACTTCCAGGTAGAAACCATTCTGCATGGCACATGCATTTTGTACTTCTCACTCCTCAGTCTTTATATTTCATAGGCTTATGAATGGCTCAAAAGCTGTCTCTCTGACTCCTGTGATTTCAGATGTTTCTGAAGCTTTTTTTTTTTTTCTGAAGTCATAATCTTCTGCAACGGTATCACAAACCCTGCACGACAATCCTCAGCCCCTGGCATAGCTGCTGAGGCTACAAACTGCATAAGGTAAGCTACAGAGAGAAAAACCTTTCCCCTTTATGATATGGAGAAAATATACAGGAAAATTCATGTATTATTAAGCCACCACCATTCTTCTGTATGTTTTTCAACAGTTGAATTGCCGGTAATCATTCGAAGAGCAAACAAATATTGCTAACACCAAAAGGAATAGGCATCAAAAGTACAATATTGTAGAAGTACGACTTCAAATCATAAGAAAAGGGCATGCATTGCTGAACAACTTGTGGAACAGTCTTGAGGTACGCAAGAACCTACTCATGAGAACTCATAAGCAGAACTGAGCATGAGCATATCTTTCATGCATGTGATTTTCACAGTCTCCATAGGTGACTTCAAAAGCAGAAAGTAACTTCAAGGCACATTAGTCTATGAAAGAGTTATAAATGAAATATATACTACTATTATTTATATAAATTACAGAAACATTATATGTTATAGATAATGCATTATATAGTATACAATATTATACTAACAGATAGTATATGAAAGAGTTAAAAGTGAAACAAAAGATTGCTTTGCTTCAACTGAATGGCAAGGACTTGGTTGCAATCCACACTGACTAAAGTCACGTTTTATTTTATAAAAGTCTTTTCTGGAGAGAGACTTTAAAACTGAATATCTAGAATTCTCTGTTTCTGAGGGTGACCTTTCCACTCAATCAATCCAATTTAGTCATGGGGAACTATCAGTCTTCAGAAGCTGAGTGAGACTATTTTGCCTCCAATCACAAGACTGCAACATTAAGGAAGAAATGGCTACATTTATTGTATAAAAATACCCCTGCGATTTTGCGTAATTTTTGTCCTTCACGTAGCCACCCTTTGAAAAACAGAAACACAGAAAACATTTTTCCAGTGTTTCTTAAAGGCTTGATATGAACATGGACTTCAGTTTGTACTTGGTCTCCAAGATACTAGTACAGCCCTGCAATGTAGCTAGCTTATAAACTACTCAAGTTAAGACAGTAGGGGGAGCATAAAACACTGAAGCACGAGAAAAAGATTCCAATGGGCTGTATTAAAGAAAATGGGAACTTCTGGCTCAAGAGTTGCAAGTCATTCCCTAAATTGTACTGTTATTGGAACATAAGTATCTCCAGTACCCACTGAAAATTTCTCCATGGTTGTCGTCCTCTCCAAACCGGCACAGTAAAGCAATAAACCAAGTATGCTGCACTAATAGACACTTTCTTATCTGTACCTGTTTTTCAATGTTTGGTTTGCTGATCTGTACAGTCTGAGGTCCAGCGAGCCTGGTACCCGGTGCTGCTATCACAATGCTGGTGAGCTGTGCCATAGGGAAGGTTTTGGCTATGGTTGCTGTCTGCCCGTTAACTACACGAACAGGATGTATGGAGTTCTGAGAGTTGGGTAAAGAGGTGGGTGTGAATTTTGTTGTCAACATCACAGGCCTCTGAATAAGCTGAGGAGCTGCAAGCATTGGAGGAGGTGCTGGGGCAATAGGAATGTTATTTTGGGCAACCGGTTTAGGTCGAACCTACAAAAAAAAGAAAAAAGAAAAAAAAAAGAGAGAGATTTGTATATCAGTATTCCGATGAACTTTTTTTACTAAGTCTTTCAATTCAGCCTGTATAGTCTGCAGAAGGTTGCTTGATTTTTTATAGAATGTAATTTTTAGCATAGTGTCCTAAGTATGCTATGAAAAGGAAAAAGCCGCATTTTCAAACCTACTTGCATAAAATGCATCCGTAACATTTGCATATGCAGTCACTGTCCCTGAAATGGCATTTGGATGCACAGACACTTATATTGCATGTTTATTGCCAAGTGCCTTATCTGTATCTAAATCAACACATTGGTTTTGCAAGCCAAAAAATTCATGTAATATTTACAGGCACAGCTGAGGCTCTCATGTTACAAGTGTGTCTCAGGGCTTTATATTGAGCCTCCAAGAAATCATGAACAGTTGATTGTTCCCTGAAAGAAATAATTAAAATTTTCAACAAATCCTTGTTACCTTTGTCAGCTCTATATATTATTTAGACACCTGCATAACCAATCTTGCTAAGCAAAAAAATTGTTAAGATTATACATTAATCCCTCATTGAAAGGGCTAAAGGCTACAGGCAAATGCAGTCATTACTCTTTTTCTTCTTTCACAAGAAAGAAAAGAGCTGCAAGAATCTTCCAATCCTCCACCACCAATACTTGCTTATTTCTTGCCCATTGTTAAGTTTGTACTTATCACATCATTACAGAGTACATAAGTAGAATACATTACTCTGAAAAGAAACTCTTCTTCCTTATTTAATTTCTCTTGTCCTATCCACCTTTAATACTCCATAATGCATTTTATCATGGAAAACTAGGTCACATTGCAACAGATCCCACCATCCCCAAATCTTAATCAGATACCAGCCTATACTTTTCTTTTTTCTTTTGTAAAAGATTTATACTTGGTACAGCCCAATATGCTGCTAGGCTTCTTTGCTGCCAGGGCAGACTGCTAGTTTAGCTACTGTCAACCAAGACCTTTTAAGCAGTGCTGTTCCCCATCCAGCCAGTCCTCAGCCTGTACCCAGGCAGGGGGTTAGTCCATTCCAGGCCCATTTCTCTATCCTGTGTAGGACCCTCTGAATGTCAGCACTGCCCTCAAGAGTATTGACTGCACCCTCAAATTTGGCACCATCTGCAAACCTGTTGAGGAATAATTGTCCCCTCCACCAGGTCACCAATAAAGACTGATGAAAATGATGTTCATAGAAAGTATCTCCTATCTATGCTATAATTAAGTTCCTTCTTCTATTGCTTGCTCTCTGTACACTCACCTGTGGAAGAAAATTTGGACGAGGAGTAAGTCTGGGAGGAGGGATGAACTGCGGCACTTTTATGGGCTGAGGCGTAGCCTGAACCTGCTATGAGAATACAAGAGAGTTCAGTAAGAGGAAAATAGCTCTGAAGTCATTCACCAAAATCAACATCCTGAATGTATTTTCAAACCTGATGTCCCCGGTTTTCCACTCTGTAAATAATTTTTCACAGTAACAGATTCCTCCTTAGAAATGTATTAAACACAGAGCTAATCTTACTTTCCAGTTCCTACACACCTTGCTTCATAAATTGAAGGCATCTTTCCTTTTAGTTCAACTGTACTAACTACTGTGCTCTACAATCTAAAACCATTTCATTTGAAGATAATGAAAACTCCTATTTGTTTTAATAGTTAAAAACTGGCTTTACAACAGACAGAAAATAATAAGAGACTTTGATGTCACATAAATCATTGTCCTTTCATACTGAATGGAATACAGAAGAATGAAAGAGTATCTCATGCAAATAGAAAAGATCTGGAAGTTCCAACTCTTTTAGCAACATTAATGACACTATGAAGGGCTCTAAATACACAACTTGAAATTTTCAGAAGTAAGCCATTCATTCGAAACAATTAAGATCTCATTTTAAGGTATCCTAAGTACTTCCCTGTCTCACTGAAATCAGTTAGATGGAGCTGCCACATGATAACCTCTAAATAGCACTACTAGCTACCCTAAGTTGTGTACTCGGCAAGATTCTCTGAAATTAACGTCCATGTTCATTTCCACCCTTCTGTACTTCTGTCCACCCGCATAAGATCGCAATTTACTTCAAAAAGGTCTTGTACTGATTAGTTAATGCTTGGGATAATATTCTGAGATTTTTGATGAAATTTGCCACAGAAACATGAATCATGAACTATTATTAGAACAGAATCACCTCCCCAAAACTAAGTAAGTTATTCAGCAAAGAAATGAAGCACAGACGCAAAGGACAGATGAGAGTGGTGCAAGGGACGGCATGGGAAAAGAGAACAGTAGAAAAAACTCCACTCAAATAGTCTTCTCTATTTTGATTGCAAACATATGCCTCATTAGGAAGCAAAATTACTTCCATTTGCATTATTAAACTGTATTTTTCAATAAAGATAAATTGGATTTATGTTTAGTGAAGCCTTAACCTTTACTCCAGAAGTAAAATTTCCCTGTCATGATGTTATACAATGCCTGGTTTCCAGACCAGTAAGCCTATATAACCCAATTCTAAAGCATTACTCCTTTCATTTCTAGGTGGCTAACTATTCTGGAAAACACCGTGTGATGTAATCCAAGCACATTCCAAAATATACACTTAAAGAAACAGGTCCTGTACATGTGTACGAAAAAGTGGTGAGTGAAGACATGGTAGCGGGCAGTTAAGTGATGCGTCTAACACTAGAGACTTTATCACACAAAGGGAATGAGAGAGATTTACTCAAAAAAATCTACGATGAAAACCCAAACTGATCAAATGAAGAAAGTCTGACATCTCCTTTACCAAAGAAAAGAGCAGGAATTCTGCAGAACACAGCCACATAGATTAGGTAGGGGCAAAACAATTGCTTCTTCCCCATGACTAACAGTTACTAACAGGGGAAACTTTACACAGAGGTGATGATAGCACTGATTTAATTCTACAAACCAAAACAGTAATAACAACCCATGTAGATGGTAAATGCTTTTCTCTTAGACTATCATTTTAACAACGCCAACTAGTGAAGACTCACGACATGTCCCGACTAGTCTTTCTGTGCAAAACCCTGTTTGTTTGTTTATCTTTTTCAATAACCCTCTTGTAAACTAAACCCACACATATCTGCAGGGCAAACACATGAAACGCTTACCAAAGTTACTGTGTTTTTTGCCACTATTTGGACTGCCTCAGCTCCTGGCCCAGTGACCTTATTTGTTGTCTGGAGGTTGACTGGTGCACTCTGCGCATCAGTGCTGAGGACTGCTTTCTGATTGTTGTTGATAGCAGTAACCATGGCAATGGTAGGTCTCTGACCCACAACAGAGGCAGGCATGGTCGCAGTTGCTGCTTTCAAGACGAGAGGTAGTGTCTTAGTGGTGATCATAGAAGCTGTAGTTACAGTTTTCTAAGGGAAACAGAAAATACACTGTAAGAGACAGAGACACTTCGCATCAGATAGGACGTGGGTTGGTTAGTCAGAAACAACAGACAGTAAGAGAAAGAAAAGGCAGCACTGAGTCTATCTACCTGTTGTTCACACAAGCACATTATCTTACACCCTGGAAAACTGGATAGCTAGAAAGGATTCTCATTTGGGGCACCTGTTGGGTATATTTGAATCATCTGCAGCATTACAGATTGATTCAAAACAAATTCCTGAGAAAATGACAATCAAGTGTTAGTAGTGGCATATGCATTTTTGGATCTTTTGGTTTCATATTACGTCCAAATATGTGCTGTCAATATCAAACAAATAAGGTGGAGGTTTATGAAACATATCAGCAAACTAGCTTCTCACCAATTAGAACTCACATTTTCAAATGGAAACTTTATTTACAGAGATCCTCACAATCAGAGGAAGAGGGGAAAACATTCATAAATTGGTTTCTTTAAGAATAAAAATGTATTTTGACTTTGGGTATCCCAAATTTCAGTTTTATCCGTACATACAGTTACTTAGCCCTTAACTTTCTTTCCTAAGAATATCAGTAGGGCTATCCTGAAGTCGTAAGAGCTGGCTGTTAGTCTGTCCAGGTGCAGGCAATGAAGTTTAACCTCTGCGGAATGGGGTGGTTTTGGAACATACATGTGATGCCATGAGTTGCTCTCGGCCTGTTTTCAAGAGAGTGGTTTTGAATCACTCAATGCCAGCATTTACCTGAAATGCCCGAATACACTATGTCCACAAATTCCAAAGTTAAAACAACTATAATTTCATATTTTTGTTTTAAAAAGTACTGTCTTCTGAGATGTGAAGGGAACAACGGACAATTACAAATCTCATTCAAAAAGCAACAAGGCAAGAGAGTCTCCATATAAAACCAGAACACCATGTGCACAGAAAACTCATGGCAAGCGACACTCAACAGAATGGGAAGTGGGCTTATTTCTTTTCTCTTTGGTGTAAAAAGTCCATTGTACCAATGGCACTGCATCTTCAGAACAGTTACTGGCATGATCAAGTGCTGCTAGTATGAAATAACCACCATTCCCTCACTGATGTCAGCGCTACGCTCTACAACAGGAAAAATGGAGAACCAGGGATCAGGCAGTCTTTTTCGTGTTCTGAACATGCCTCATTTAGACTGCTTGATTTTAATCACACAAGACCTTGCTCTTCTTTCTAATAAAATAACTATATTTCCAGTTGGATTCTTTAGTATTTTCACTGATATTGTCTCCTTAAACAAAAATGCAGTTAACTTTCACACGTCTAATTTCATAATGCTTAAACTATATCCCGTTAATTACGCACAAGTGTGAAAAAATTCAAACACTGTATAATGCCAAATCAAAGGATAATTAACGTTTCAATTTTATACATTTATACAAAATCCAGACATAATTAACTTTTTCTTGTCACAATGTGAACAAATCCCTTAACTTTTTAACTGAGATTCAAGAGCTTCTTATTGACCTCTGCTGCACCTTCTCCAAAGCAAGAGGCTCCACTCCCCTAATGCAGTAACATTACTCAAGGTTTTCCAATGAGATGTAACATGGTAGCATTTTCACAAGCATTACATTCAGCCATAAACGTTTTAAAGAAAAGTGTAATCAATCATGTAATACAAGACTGTGACTCTTTGAAGGGGTTCTAGTAGGTCTCTAAGTACTAAGAGTCTAGCTTCAGTCAGCAGATCACAGAGCTTGAATATCCCTGTTACTTTGCTGAGCATTAATTACCTTGGTTATTCTAAAAAGTTTTCAATGCATGAATTCATACTGAAGTAGCATTCATAGTAAGTCTGCATTATTTCGCATAACAACATTGCAAGAATATGACCTTTTAGCAGGCTTGCTGCTTTATGAAAATTTTAAAAGTCCTTTTTACTGGACTATATTAAGTATATTAAAATGTCACTATTAAGGCAGCATATATACCTTGACTCCTAAATTGAATTACTCTGAGAATAACCATTGAAAGCATCCTCTTTACTGACACAGCCTTGAAAGATGTATTATTTACAAAAGTAAGCACCAAAAAACTTTCTAGAGAGACAAAACATTTGACTTTTCTTTGCTGAAAGAGATTGAGGGGCAACAGGACAGAGGCACAACCTGAGATGCAAAATGTGGACAGAAGCAAGTGGGGTTACTTCAGAATTATACCAACATAAATAAAAATAGAAAAGTGTTAAGGATAAAAGCTGGCTTATTTATTCAAATGAGAATATGAACTGCCTTTCAGTTTATAATTACTTTCCAACTACAACTGTATCAACGGTAGTCAGAAGGGTGTAGCAGTTTTTTGACTGTTTCACTAGAGGGCTCTTTAACTTTGAACAAAACCTCAATTTTTACAACCCAGGAGATGACCTGGAAGTTAATGCATGAATGCAAAGTGTGGAATACACAGAAACGCATGAAACTGCTTTTGCAGTCATGTTTCCTGACTGAAAAACAGAGACCAGTGATACAGCAAATAGTGATCCATGCCTGTAAATATTTTAGGACACAGTAATATTTACTTCTTTGTTCTGTTTTAGCTTTGATATAGATGTTGCTGCTCAAAAACACCTTTTCCTTAGTTAAATTTGCTTAATTTCGTCAATATTCTTTTATCAAAAATGCAATTACCTAAGTCTCTCAAATACATTTTTAGACAGCATCCAAAACAACCTGTCGAGTTACTGAGAAAAGTAACAGCCCAGCCCTTTCTCCCCTTTCTGTTTCCAGGAAAAGACAAGACAAGAACCACCACTGGTCAAAGCTATGGTTGTGATTCACTGCAACGTGCATAAAGTAAACTTCATGGGTGGATTCTGCCATCTGCCTGTCCAGGTGAAGGCGAACTGCTGAGATTGCATCAATGGGAAAAAAGACCTCACACACACTTCTTTTTACAAAACACCTCCATGCACTTTCTTGCTGTTTTATTAGCACACTTTGGGGATTCTAAATAATTGAACAGGAGAGACTTGGAATCAGCTTGGAATTCCCCTCTCAGTAAAAGCAGACCACTTTCTCTGGTGAGTTCTGGGATTATTATGTCTCTAATCCTATACTGTACTGAAATGCAGTGTACCTTCCCAATAAAGACACTACTTTCTAAAATTCAAACTTTGCAATTACCATTGTGTAATTTTAGACTAATCCTTGAAAACTCAGGTAAGTATTATCTGATACGAGTTACATCTGTTTAAAAAGAACCAAGCAGAAAGAAGAGGGAACTATTTTCTTACATTTGGTTCACAGATACAGTGAGCACTCTGTTATTCTTTTAACAATAAATTATTTTAGTCATACACCTCATACAGTGCATGTAAAGTCTCTACTGTTTCTTAAGACCTACTGGGCATGGACAGACAATCATTCATGCACCTATGGAAAAGACAGGTTCATTTGCTAAACTTTCATTTATTTTTAAGAAAGGTGATACTGCCACGCTTCTTTTCTGTCACGTTGCCATCTGACTTTTAAACACTACATTTTTTTTTTGACTCAGATAGGAGGTTATTGCTGAAAAAAAACCCCACAAGACCTATACGTGTATATACACAAAAGGAGAAACTCATATTGGTACACTAACGGGCATAAGGGAAAGTTTGTAATTTTCTCTCTGCACCTTTTTTTGTGGTTTTTGTTTTTGTTTTGTTTTGTTTTGTTTTTTTGCAGTGAACTTCACCTTCAGCAAGGAAAAGAATTATTGTAGAGATTTTTACCTGTGATCCAATCACGTTTGGAGAGGGTGCAGTAGACTGCTGCTGCTGTTGATGGTGGTGTTGCTGTAGCTGTTGTAGTGGTTGCGGCTGTGGTGTCTGTAGTTTGTTTTCTGACTGTGCCAACGGCTGTATTTGAAACTTACTGTCCGGCTGTTCCTGCTTCACTATCAAATTCTTTCGAAGTTGTTCCACCACTCTTTTCTACCAGATAAACAGAAACAAACAGAAATGATGATAGTAATTTAGCTGCACATATTAGAGAAGATAATAACACCTGAATTTACATTTATTTAATGTAAATAAAGAACTGTTCAGAAGCTTAGTGGGATTTCTCTTTTTCGAATTTTAAATATTGGTGTTATCTAATGGGCAGAGTGTCAAAATAGGCCACAGAGGAGTACTGCTGCCCAGCAGGGTGACCTTGCTGTCCTTGCAGAAACCCACCCATCTGAATTCAGCCTGTTCACAAACCACTGCAAGACTTCATTAACCTGTATTCACTTGAGACTGTAAGCATTCAGATTCCAAAGTTTTTGACTCCTTCAAACATGCACCATTCCTACACAGTCATGAAAAAGGACTTCAGGTTGAAGCCTCAGGGCTGACTTCAAGGCAATGAGGATGCCGTTTTGTGCCAGGCATCGAAACCGAGTGGAGAGACAGCCAGTTTGAGTGCAGAGTGGGGAACAGGAAGGGCGCGGTTGTGCGGTCATTCTGTTCCATATTATTGTCACCTGAAAGAAAATCAGACAGGGCTACCTACGTGGGAAGGAAACTGCACAGATTTATCTTTCCCAGCTTAAAAGCTTCCTATTACATTATAGCTTCCATGAAAGTTTGAAACTATTTAAAAAAGAAGTTTCTTCTTTTGGTAGCCATTGTGTATCTTTAGATGGCAACTCAACAGATTTAAGAGCAGACCAGGTGACCTGCAGGATAAGATACCATGTCGCCACATGGGCAATAAGGGCTTACAATTTATGTTTATATTATACTTCAGTGTGGACAAGGGTGAAAACACCACGAGACTTTTTTTACCTTTTGCGAGCATGATAGAAAATGGACTTTTTTTCCTACACTCCAACCACTCCCAAATCAGGACAGCTTTAAAAAAATTTAGATATATACTTAAGCCCCCTTCATCAAGACCATACGCATACTCCAAAACAGTTATACAACAAGGTTGGCTTCGGAAGAGGACAATGAAGTCAACAGACGTGGCAGGGACTCAACTGAGAAAGCTCTAGCGGAAACAGAAATGGTCAGGAAACCTCTACCAGAGCCAGGCGCTGACAGAGTGGGCCGCCCCAAGCAGTTCCACTTACACGGAACGGAAAAGAAAAAAAAACATCCTGACAATATAAAATGCTTAGATTTTTGTTTTGAAGCATTAGTGTTAAGACACAGAACAAAACAGAGAGATCGAACAAACAAACAAACAAACAAAAGAATCCAGCTATTTACAACCAACTGAAACAATTTTTTCCCTCCAATTTCTTTCACACAGGACATTCTGAGCTAACAAAATATCTGTTCTCTGCATAGTTCTTGTGGACATACTGTAGACTTTCGATTCCGAGTATCTTGCTTACAATGAGTTAAAACCGTGCTGGGCCTCACACACTGAATGTGTACCTCTAGCCCAGAAGAAGGTAACAAAAGGTGCAGGGTGACAGATTGGCAGATGTGCAACCAGAACTTTAAAAAGCCAAATAAAACACACAATCAAGGAAAAAAACACCTCTGTTTCTTCAGGTTGAAATGTGTGAGCTCACATTTTTTGCAAAAGACTGAATTCAGCGACTCAGAGGTGTACAGAAGAAGGACTGCCTGGCTTCTACAAACCCCCCAGCCCTGGCTGGGGATGCACGCTCAGCTCCAACAATAAGAGAAACATAGGCCCAACTTCACCGAAAATTCAGGGAGTTGGTAATGGACAGCAGTGTGAAGGAACTATTTTACGCTGCATCCAGAAAAGTGCTAAAAGCTGTCAAAGCCCAAAAGCTGTGAATTGTTTGTTCCCTGCTAGAACAAGGAGGAAATAATAGGAGGTGTAGAAGGAATTTTTCTAATTCAGATATTTTACATAGTTTTAAATGGCCTGTGTCTATCAGCCCATTCGTACACTTAATAACAGGACAATCATTTAAAATTGCTTTCTGAAAAGACCAACCACGTTAACATGCAAACCAAAGTAACGTGTCAGCGAGCAGATACAAGAGCTGAAAAAACATGTCCAGAGAGTAACCCAAGGGGGAGGGGAGGAGAACGGAGCAAAGAGAGGAAATAACGCAACATGCCTTTGGAATACCTGCCAAAAACTGGACTGCACATACACTGCACAGGAGGCTAAAGAATTACTGTACCCGGCGTGAACAGGAAGGGAGTTTTTGTCTTCCACAGCTGCCTGTATGAAGTTCAGTGATATGCTGCTCTCCTACTGATTCCCTAACTGGAGGAAATCAGCAGCAATGGCCCAAGAATTCATTTCCATCTTGTTCTTTACAATGGGAGGGAACATTAGAAAGGATTTAAAAAAAAAAAAAAAAAAAAAGAGAGAGAGAGAGAGAGGAGAGGGAGAGGCAGGCTGGGGGCCCCCTGCCATACTGCTATGGCAGGGCGAGAGCCAGCAAGAATGGGAGCAGGAGCGAGGTGAGTCACATCACATTCACATACCGCCTGTTCCACCCCCGGGCCCGAACCACGGCGTGCAGGGCTGGGGAAAAACAGGGCCGAAGCACAACTTTTATTAGTGCCTTGGGCAAAAAGCTGAGGCTCAGCATATTTGGCACAAGATGGATAACGTGAGTGGAAAAACGCTGTTGCTCTGGAAGTCTACAGTAGCCTGTTAGAGGCTGCTGAGAGCTGCCTGGCAGCAGCATATCCTGCCATCCATATCCATTATGCAGATATTAAATTGGAAGAAACATCTAATGCTTTTAAGATTCAGAGAGTAAAACTGAAGTTTGCAGTGCATGCCAATTGCTTACTCAGTTTATTAAGCTGCTTCTACCAACTGTCAGTAAAAATGCCACACTGAAACTACAGAAATCATTTTACTATCTGCAAGACTGTTGGGATTAGCTGTTTGCTAGTACTTATCAAGAGGGACTCTGAACAACACATTCCAAAATTACTTAGCTTAATTAGCAAAACCAGACGAGACTCTCAGGGTTGCACCTACACAGGAACTAAGAGCAGATCTACGCCCATTTTCAGCACTACCCTCTGCTGCGTCCTCCTCTGCACGGTCTCAACCCACGCTGTCGGTCTGACACCGTCCAGCTCTTCCTCGGCGTCCTGCTGGAACCGCTGCTCTGCGGTCGCGCAAGAGCCCCGGCACGTGGCTTGTCTGCAGCAATGTGAGCAGAGCCTCGTTTTGCAGGGGATTAAACAAGAGGGCAGTATGAAAGAAACTCTTGTCTACTGCCAGACTTGATACTTCATTCAGACTGTATTTTAAAATTGTTCTTGAGTTACTTGACTGTTGTTAATCAATTTTGGAGGTGGCTTGTGCTGCAGAAATTACAATCTGTATGACCGAAATTTGCCAAGGCTGGTATAAAGTCCTAGCTATGTGCCTTAGAGACTGAGTGCCAGTGAGACTGAAGTTATCTAAAAGTACAGCAGAACTCTTAAGAAATATTCCTAATTCTTTAAATGTAATCACTGCCATTTTTCCTTCCCACTGTTATTTAAGAATATTTAATTTAATTAAATTCTGACTGACAAATTCAAAATTTTAAATTGAGATTAACTCAGTCATAAACACATCATCATAAACACAACATAATAGTTTTTCTGCATGTCAGAAAGCTCTAACCCTCTCCATATTCCTAAAATAGTTTCTTTTCCGGCAACACTACAGATGTATGAAAAACATGTCTTTCAAGTTTACTGAATTTTCCTCAAAGCCAAACGCCAATCCTCTCTTTACATCCAGAATGTTAAAGGAATTAATAATCACATCCTTTCTTCCAAACTGTATTCTACCCAAAAAGTAACTGCTAGCCCTCTGCAATGGTTACTGTCAGACTACTTCAAAATCCATTTGTCGAACAGTGCCCTGTAAGCATACTTCATAATCTCATAGCTCTTGCTGTCTTGACAGCTTCATCGCTAATCTCATCAAGAACCGCTCACACCACTGAGTTCACAGAGCTCTAGACATCTTATATGACCCTTTCTTAAAGGTAATAAATGTAATCAATATTGTGACATTTAGTGATACCACTTTCTCATTCATGCCACAGGCCAGATCCTAACATAGCATTAGAAGATTATTTTGCTTTGATTAAGCAGAAAATCTGCCTCTATGTCTTGTTGGCCATAGATCTGTGCCAAAAGGTGTCTTCTCTGTGCTCACAGAAAAAACTATCACGAATATGTTGCTGTAAGATAAGGACAGTCCTTGGAGCAAACTGAAAGCTCAGTAAGGTTTAAGTATAACATTATTAGCTAAGCATTATTTCCATTTTAATCAATCAATCAATAACAAAGTAATTCTCTGAGTATAGCAATTTTTAAAATACTAGATCCCTTGTTACGTTTGGTGACACATTTTCTTCTTCATCCAGGAAACGCATTCAGGAAAGCTAAAGGATAGAATATTGAAAGGAAGGTCTGTTTTTAAACTTCAAAAATCTATAAAAATTAAAAAACAAAAATCTTCTAAAAATGAGAGAGAAAAGTAAAGTACTAAACAGCCTTGCAATGCATACCTTTTATATCACAAAAACAAAGCTGAGGTGGTTTGAATTGCTCAACTGCCTGCTAGTGACCTGCTTTCCTCCACCACCAATTCCAGGAAGTCAGCTATTAGGGATCCTCTGTTACCTGTTCCCTCCAATGACCAAGAGATGCTCTCTCGAATATAAAAGTTGCCAACTGCTGAGACTGAAATGGTAAGAGAAAGTACTGATTTCAGATAAGCTCCAACTCGGGAGCGGGGAAGATGGACTGAATCTTTCTTTCCAGCCTCCCGCCCCTCTCCTTGCCAGCGCCATCCCCTGCCGCTACTCAAAGAGAAGTGAAATACCTCTGCGTTTTGACAAAACAGAAAGAGACCAAAACTTCCGTGGCAGAAAGAAGCTAAAAGATTTTGGAGCCCTGGCATGGTTAGTCTCTAACCTGCAAAGAGGGTGCGTTTTGGGAGTGGAAATACTACAAGCAAGGAGAATAACTGTACGCTCATCTACCGC